ATGAGTCTGTTCTCCATCGCTCAACTCGGAGTCAGGAGCTGGTTCTTCGTTTGAACCGTACTCCACACTCTCCTGCCGGAAATCCTGACTCGGACCTTGATCAAGGGGATCTGTCTCGATATCCATCTTCAAGTCTCCGCTTCCTGCAGAACCAGACTCCTCATTAATTGAGCCTTCAATGTCCATTGCATCATTGGTTTCTTCGATTTGTATTGCACCGTCGTGGTCAGGGTCGTCATCGGCCCTCAACTCGTTCTTAACGCCGTACTGTCTCGGACCCTGGGAATCATCATTGCCACCCATTTCATGATCTCTGTCGCTGGCTACTGAGACGGGTGATTCTCGCGTGACCATGTGTCTTTCAATACGTCTCCTTTTCCTTCTATTCTCTGACAAGTCTTCATAGAGATCGTGCACCTCGTGCCCGTATTCCTCCCACTCGCTTCGGTACAAAGTCCGGTCGCGCCAATTGACCAAGTCCTCTTTCGTCTTGCGCTCGCCAATCGGCTTGCGCAACTTAGAGCCTTGTTCCGCGTTGGAGGCCAACGACGAAATTCCAGATGGGGCTGGCTGCCCCATCAGGTCCCAAAGTCGCATTTCTTCCGAGGCATTGTTCAGCTGGTCGATCGCTTCTGCGTGTTCCTCTTCCAGATTAACTGGCGGCTCATCGACAGGTGTCATCTCAGGCGATGACAATATGGATGAAGCATAGGAATATACGTCAGATTCGTTATCGTCATCGTCATCTTCAACTGTGTCGTGCGGAGCGCGACTCTCAGATCTCCGCCTGGAAGCGCTTCTTACATCAAGGGTTTCGTCGACTGGAACCTTTCCGGAAAGAATATCTTCCACTTCGTCGTAATCCATAAGCTCCGACTGCCATCCTTTCTTGTGGCGGAGGTCTGCGACTTGCAAGCTGCACCTTCGGGCTAACCCAACCCAAAAGTCGAAGCGATCCTGTGGCATGCTGAGCACATTCAGTGCAGTCTTCACATCACGCGCTCTCACTATTCGTGCTTTGCGGTTTCCGGTTTCCCTCATGTTCCGCAGTCGTGACATGGCGAAGAACAGGGTAGAATGTACCAGACGGCGAGTCACGCTTACGGCCAGAGCGTAGAAATCTGCAAGAGCATCCGCCGTTATGGAAGGGGTCTCATCAGCACAGGCGACGTTGACCCAATTGTCCTCTAGCCTTGGACCACCGGCGTTCATGAAGAACCTTTCAGATAGTCTGATCCACTTATTGATGTTGAAAAGCTCGGCAGTGACATATACGCTTGAGCCAGGTAGAGGTGTTTCATTTCGTTCCTCCAACTGTTCCTCTACCATTTCTGCGACTTCTCGGTCGACAATCCACACGTTCTGATGCAACCTCCTCCCAACAGCATCTTCAGCCCGCTGTTCTTCAAGAGCTAATAGTTCGGCGTAATCGTCAAGTGCCTTGCAGCATTCTTGACTGATCTCCAATGCTGCTGGAACTTCGCCGAGAACGATGGTCCTGCTGTGGGAATCTCGGACGTGTTGCCGCTCCAGTCCTCTGTGTAGGAGCTTCAAATGCTCCTGAACTTCCAACTCCGATTTTGAGCCAATCGCTTGCGCAATTTCCGCGATACCGTTTTCCCCTTTTCTGTCGAGCATGCTGAACAGAATCTCCTTCTCTTGCGAAGCCCAAATCGCGACGCCATTTTGAGTGGGATTGTAATTTTCGCTGCCGACAGTGAAAGGCACAGTATTGCTCGCTGATTCTGCAAATTCAGCGGAGTACGCATCCACACATCCTATTCCGAGTGATGTGCGTAGAGTATCCAGTATCTGAGCCCGTGTTCCTCTTGTCGCTCTCGGTTTTACCTCCGGAGTGTCTTCGTCTTCGGGCTCTGTTGAACCAAGACCTTCAAAGTCATCTATTGGAGGAGACGAGGCTGAGAATTTTGTGCTTGAGTATCTGGATTCGATATCGGCATCAGACGCTTCTTCGTCATCATCTGGCTCGTAAACGCTTGAACTGCTCATCGTCGGGTCTTGAGAGATTCAAGCACGCACGCCAAAGACATTGGGTAAGAGCAGATGATGGGCGCATCCCAACGGTCTAAGGTGCCTGCAGAAGCTATAATTGCATAGTTAAATGACTAGATATTATAAGTAGCAACAAGATCCAAAAATCCAAAAAAATGTTACGTCGAGGTACTTATCGGCTTGGAAGATTTCTGATAAGAGAAATGTTTGCACTGTTTGCCTCGTAGATAGCATAATATCTCTACAAGGCGAGCAATGACAGGGCCGTGTCTCTCATTATTGACATCCTTTTGCTTCATGGCAACTAGATGAACGTTTTTCGACGGAGATTGGGGCATATTCCCATTTTGAATATCATCACTCGAGCTAACCGACCTCACTGGCAACCTCTTGCATTTCACCGACATGGCCGTTTCAACTCTACCAACTCAAGGCCGACCACAGAGCCTTCTACAGAGTCTGCACGCTCGTTTGAATCTCCCAAGTTAGTCCTTCGAGACTATCAGGAGGAATGTATTCAGTCTGTGTTAAGGTATTTGGACGAGGGTCAGAAGCGCTTGGGTATCTCGCTTGCGACTGGTGCTGGCAAAACGGTTTGTGTGACGGTTCGCATATTGCTCGGACATTCGCTGACCTTTCTCTCAACGCTGGCAGGTCATCTTCACCGAGCTAATCGGTCGCATCCCGTCACGCAATGAGATAGGCGACAAAACTTTGATTATTGTGCATCGAAAAGAACTTGTGGAACAAGCAGCGCAACATTGCCGCCGCGCATACCCTGACCGAACCGTCGAGATTGAGATGGGCCATAGCCATGCCTCAGGAGCTGGGGACATCATTGTCGCCTCTGTGCAGACTCTGACGCGAGGAAATAGACTAGCAAAGTTCGATCCGAGACGGTTTAAACTGGTGCTGGTGGACGAAGCGCACCACATCGTCGCTTCCTCCTACCGAGGAGTTTTGAAGCATTTCGGAGCGGACGAAGCCTCTACGGATTCTCCGGTTCTCGTCGGTGTCTCGGCTACATTTTCTCGGAGCGATGGACTGAAACTGGGTGCTGCAATTGATCACATTGTATACCATAAAGACTACATCGACATGATTGACGACAACTGGCTTGCGAATGCGGTCTTTACTACGGTCCGCTCCGAGGCAAACCTGTCCAAGGTCAAAAAGGACAGCTTTGGGGACTTTGCAATCGGCTCTCTTTCCAAGGCAGTCAACACAGAGAATGTTAATAACATCACCGTGCGTGCATGGCTTGCTAACGCGCAAGACCGCAAATCCACGCTGGTATTCTGCGTGGACGTCGCACACACAAAAGCGCTTACGGAGACTTTCCGCAACTACGGCATCGATGCTCGGTATATCACGGCCAAGACCCCTAAAGATGTCCGGATGGAGCAGCTGCGCGCATTCAGAAACCGAGAGTATCCCGTGCTGATGAACTGCGGTCTCTTCACTGAAGGGACTGACATCCCGAACATCGACTGCGTCCTCCTTGCCAGACCGACCCGGTCGCGGAACCTCCTCATCCAGATGATCGGCCGAGGACTCAGATTGTACCCCGGCAAGGAAGACTGCCACATCATCGACATGGTGGCAACCCTCAACACCGGCGTCCTCTCCACACCAACCCTATTCGGCCTACACCCAGACGAAATCCTGCAAAAAGCCAAAGCCAAAGATTTACGAGACGTCCCTCTCGAAAACACCGCAACGGGGAATGCGACGACCCCAGCCGAGGAAGAAACAGAGGAACCGGCCCCCTTCCCGGACGACTCAGACATCAACCTAACGTTCACAAAATACGACACAATCTACGACCTGATCGCCGACCTCAAATCCGAAAAACACATCCGCTCTCTGAGCCCACACGTTTGGGTCCGCGTCGGCGACGACCGCTACATCCTCTCCGACGCCTCAGGCTGGCTCACAATCGACAAGGAAGAAGACACAGGTCGAGCATACAGACCCCAACCCAACCCCGACCCGACCTCTACCGCCAACACACCCGACGACCCTTACATCTACACCGTCCGCCACGTCGCCAAATTCAAAAACTCCGATGACAGCGTTACGCATACCCGTCCGCGCCTCATCGCCACAGCCCCCGACTTCGAGACCGCCCTCCGCGCCGCAGATACATTCGCAACCAGCGAGTTCGAGGAGAGATACATCTCGGTGTTTCAGACATGGCGACAGCTTCCCGCGACGGAGGCGCAGGTGCGCTTCCTCAATAAATCAAAGGTGCGGCACGGGTTGATCAACCGGAAACATCTTACCAGGGGCCAGGCGGCGGATCTGATCACGAAGTTGAAATTCGGCGGAAAGCAGCGGTTCGCGGCGCGCAGGGCTGAGCGACTTGCTGAGCTACGGAGGCAAGAGGAGGTTGAGGAGTTGAGAAAACAGGGCGATGTGCGGGTCGGGCCGGTTGAGAGCTAGCTTTCTATTGTAAAACATTGTATAATTTAATGTATGATACCTCGAATGAAGTGTTGAATGATTATGTATGATTCCTTGTTCCTTGGATCGCCTTCACTGCTAGTCTATCGATCATCGTCGTGACTTGTGTACATGCGCTTTCCTCAGACAAACCGCTCTATATCCAGATTTCCAACAAAACAACCATTGAAGATAGCCATACATACAGCACCTTGTATATCAGTGACCAGTGACCAGTCAACGGCAACAGACACAAAAGGCAAAGGGATAGGGATAGGGATGTCGAGGTCAAGCCCGTCTGAGAAAAAGTCCCAAACTCGAAGTAGGCTCAATGATGTCTCTGTACAGTCAATTCCCATCACACAACGGGAGCACAGCCACAAAAGCAAAACACCGCTCCAGAAACAACACGCATGAAATTTAACTCCGGTATGCGTAATGATCCTTCAGCCAAATGAAGATGACAAAGATGGAACAGGAGAAGGAAAGATTAGATAAGGGGACATAAATTAAGGCGTTCAATATCGGGCGCAGTGGCTCCGTCATGGCTTCTTTTTCTGATGGCTTCCGCCTGGCTCGGACATGCCGTGTGTGGCATCATCGCCTTCGAGAATGCACCAAAGTCGTCGGAGGGAGAAGCCGCTGCTGAAGAAGTAGAGGACCACGAACCAGGCAGCAAGGATATTAGCGAGGTGATGGAGAAGGTAGGCGTATGACACGCCATAGACTGCCGAGTAGACGGCAATTGCAAAGAGGATCATAGATGTGACATGTTTTAACCTGCGATGATTAGTCGACTGACACTGACGCGAGGAAATGATGGCGCATACCTTGTGGTGACTCTGGGGATCATGGCCCCGCTGGTCATGGTCTCCACAAGGAGGATGAAAGGCATGATGGACAAGACATTATGGTGTGACGAGAATGGCATGAACCAGTGGACAATAAGATTGTGAGCCCAGACCAAGAGGACGAGAATGTTGATCGGTAAGATCCAGAGCATGAGAATGAAGATCGAGTGGGCATAATTAGAGAAGTTGTAATGCGCAGTGGACCTCTGTGCATATTGTCAGTTACCTCATCATTGAAGACATGGATGATGCGTACCGTTTCCTTGGCATGCCATTGTGCCCGCACACACGTTGCGAGTTGAACAATGCACGCCACCATGTAGGCGAACTGATAGGGAATCAAGGTTGACACGAGAACCAACAGAATGGCGGTGTTGATCAACCTGCGTCTTGCCGTCGGAGCGCTGAAGATGGGTGTTCTAATCTAGTCAGCGAGATTCGTAAGAAACAAGAATGTCATAACCTACCCCTTCTCGTTGCGTTTAATGTAGCCTGATTTGCTTTTCAGGTACCCATAGATGAAAGAAAGCACAGACAAAAGGATGAGTGCGACGTAGTTGAGAATAACACAGACACCGGCACTGATCAAGCCAAAGACAGGCACCAAAAACCAGAAGAACGCATCCTGCGATCCCAAGAGCAAATCGTTTTTGGTAAAGTCAATCGGGGTCTCGGTGGCATTAACTCGCCACTGGAACGGTTCGTCGCTGGGTGGGAGGCGCGTCGACGTGGCCAAGGAAGATGCCAGCAGGGACATAGCAAGCAACAGCATTGGAAACGATGACCGCAGAGCACTGTCTAGACCTTCGGCGAATGTGATGAAATAGCCAGTCTCGTCATACATCTGAAATTGTTTGCGGAGGACAAGAGCGACAACAAGTAGGGGAAATGCAGCAAAGACGGTCCGATAGCGCATCACAAGCTCTCCCAGACTGCCAGCAATGTCCACTCTGAGCGAAACGTCGACAGTGGAACCACAGCTGGGATCCGTCCACAGCTGAAAGGATACACCGCCGAGAGTTGCTTGTTCGCGGAGGGGCGGAGGCATGAAAGGTGCTACTCCGTGGAGATTCACATCGACCTTGTCCACATTGACGAAGAATTTCGACTCGTGCGGGTCGGATATCGACTGTCGCAGTAGAGGGGCGAAGAGCTCTTGTCGCTTGTCATGATTGTGTCTTACAATTTGGAGTTTGTAATCCAGCAAACTGGAATGCAGAGCTGGAATTTTGATTTCGGTGAGCATTGGACGATTTGCGGGCAGTCTCATCTTCAGCCCGGCACTTAGCAGACCACCAAGGCCGCCGCGAACCCTGATCACAGCATCGGAACTGTCCGAAAATTCTGCCAGAACCCAACCTCTGGTGGGACTATCGGCTTTGTCCACAATAGCAACGAATTGGTGCTCTGAAAGATCCTCCAAATCATACTGCAGATATGAGAAAGGCTGGACACGGTCAAAGGGATACTTGGAAGCTGGTGTCGATGCCGGCAGGTGAATACCATCCTCAGCCGCATTCTTACAAGCGAGACGCGTCGAACCCGTGCTGCCCCCAGAAAAGTCCATATTCATCGAGAAAACAGTTGCGAATTTGCCATTCTGAAGAGGGAAAACGCTGCAGAAGAGAACCTCCAGATTGCCATGCTCTCCAGTCTTATCAAATTTTTGGTCGGTGAGAAGAGTGAATTTCTTGCCTGATACTCCTTGCGGAGGGACGGGCAAGAGATATACCTTTGGACCCGAGCGGTGGCCCAATTCGCGCAGGATGAGTCTTCGGCCTTGCGGGAGGATCGAATTGCTTTGGTCTTCGAGGGTCAGAAGCGTGTTCGGTTCTACAAGAGTTAGTCAAGAATAGGCACATAGAAGTTTGGCAAGGGGACCAACCCTTCTGAGGTAGAGTTCTCTCGGCGACCGACTCCAAGCCTGTGAGGTACCATTTCTTGAATATCCGCATTCTCTCAGCTCTCGGTTTAGTCTGGCTTGCACGCCGAACGTCTACAATATCAAAAAGTGACTTGATGATCGCCTTGCGGAACTGGTCGCACCACGTGATAGATAGATGGTCCACGCCGATCCAAACATCTGGAATGCTAGAGGTGAAGACAGTGAAGCCGTGAGTTTCGGGGACCAGCGACGAGATACTAGCGTAGTCGGAAGGGACAACGGTGTCGCGCGAGCCACCAGCGATGGAGATGAGGGTCACATGCCACAGAGGGTTGTTGTTGGCCCACGTTTGCGAGTATGCTTCCCGCCAGTAGTCATTGATTTGCTTGTAGGTGTGAACAATGTCCGAATCGAAGGAGACGGGTGGTTTGGCATGAGGTGCGGACATGGTGACGATGGTATTGACCGAATTGGCCTGGTAGTTGGACATGGTCAATGCGGTACGGGCGACGATGCCACCCATCGAGTGTCCGATGAGAATCACGGAGCTGGGATCGGGGAGTTCGGGGTCCCTTCGCGATCGCTTGGGGTCGTGGTAGAGGGAGAGAATGTATGCAATAGCCTCGTTCACGTATTCCGCCTGGTCAAGGAGTGTTTGGCCGTGGAACGCAGCCATATCCTCGTTGAAGTCGATCATGAAGAAATCCAAGCTCCGGGTACCGGCTTTGATGCGCTCTTGGTCGTGACGGACGACATCGTGAAAGTGCCTCGATGCTTCGGCGGCAAGTGATCGGACTTGTCTATAGCTACCGGCATTTCCGGGTAAGAACAGAACGGGAGCTCCGTCCAACGTTGGGCTTGTTAGCAGTGCAGCTGAGGGGTCAGAGGCGGAAAACATACTCCTAGGTTTTCTTGATTGTAAAAATCGACACCCTCCTCCCGGTAAAGATAGAGATTGTATTTGCTCGCGAAGCGCGTATGTTCGGTATCGAAGCCCACCATATGGAGAAACGTCGGGCTCATCACGGGTATCCCACATCCATCTTCGCCGGCCTGACTGGCCGAGAATGAGCGGACGATAAAGAAGAGGAACACGGATGCGACAAGGGTTGTGAGGGCCGTCAGTATCGAGCAAGTCCACGGGCTGCGAAGTCGGGAGGACCGAAACCGCGAACTCTCAGGAGAAGCCTCCATGGGAAGTCGCTGGGAGGCCAATGGCATCAGGAAGGATGTCGAGGAGGGTTTTGTATCCGTAGACGCGGCGGCCATGGTCGTTGTCGACGAGGACGACGGCGTCCTCCACAGACCCGAGTTCCGTGAGCGAGGAGTCGAGGCGCCGTTGTCTCGTCGGAGATCGAAACTCGTACCTCTTTTCGCTATCTGCGAGCGCGACTTTTCGGCCGTCTCGAAGGCATTATTGTTAGGGGCATGTGCCGTTGATTCTGTAGGGGATCGCGAAACCAGAGGCGAGTCTTCAGCGTCGTCCTCGACAGGGGAGCCAGACGAGCGTCTGTGCATTGGAGGAGGTGGAGATATTCGTACTCATCCAGCACGCAGGAACCGATCGAAGCTTTCTGGGGCGGAAAGGCGGATCTCAGTCTAAGACCTTGGGTTGGGTGGGTTTATCGCGACAGCGGTAAGGGATGAGCCCCCAGGAATGCGAAAGGAGCAATTGGGACGAGCTGATTGGAAGGGAAGAAACTGCAATATTGAACGAGTGTAAGGGTGATGGTGAGTTGGCGGCTGGTCTCGTAGCCTCGGAAGTATTTCGCTGTTGTTTCTTGGATTAATCTTAGCTCCCCCCTTTGATACAGGACGAAAAGAGCGAGACCCTTGGCCGGGAGGCGGGGAGCGGCCGGACTGGAGATAAGGAGGAAATGAGAGGGAGAGAGGAAGACGACTGAGACAGGGTCTGCAATGGAGGCTCAAGTAATAAAGAACGAAGCTGAAGAATGAGTAAGTAGATACCTCCTGGCTACCTTAGCAGCCTTGAGGTAGTCTAGATGGGGGTGTGCTCCGTCGACGCCGAATGAAACCCAATCATCCACTCAATCGAGGCCTTGTTTCCTGGATCGTACTTTTTTTTTTCTGCTGGGCGCTGGAGACGGAACGGGCTTGGCGGATGCTCTCGGCACGCTTCTTATCGCCAGGACGGCAGGAAGACAGTGAATAAAGTCTGAACAGTGCCTGGCATAAGGGGAGATCAAAACAGAGAGCTATTATTTTAAAATAATTTACCAGCATCTTTCGACTACCCTGTAATGGCTACCAACGCGCTGTCTTGTGTTTATCCATCACTGCCAACCCGTTTCGAATTGGTGCGGGCGACGTCATCCGCCTTGTCAAGGTTGCAATACCCAATAGCTCCACCAACACTAAGATACAGAAGCAAGGTCAGGTTGGAGAATAACCAGGGGTGGGTTTAGGGTTACATATAGACTGAAATTATGAAGCTTCAATACTTTGCATCACCAGGCCCCAGTAGATATAACGGTTCTCATAAGGCACAAGTGCAACAGAAAGATGGAGGTCGTACAGGCTTACAGCACGCCATCTTAAGCCTTGTCTAATAATCAAAAACCAATCAGGATGATCCTACATCTAAACAAAGCTGCCTACCTACAGGGTACATTACCACCATAAAATAGCCTATGAGTACGCTTTAGAAGTGTACAGTGTAACCATTCCCACGCTGGTTCGAACCATCGTAGTGTATCTGGTTCTATTACCTCAGTGTGACCACTAGCTATCTGCTCTCAATATCATCATGCATAGTCAGACTTGTACCTAAGCAACCAAGACGTCGTCCAGGCACGAACACACAGTGCGGCGATAAGAACACCGACACTCTTCACTCTCCATCTGGTCGACAACTCTCTCCACTCAACACCCCTGTCGATCTCGAATTAGACACAGAAAGGTCAGTCTTATGGTTTCCTTGGTATTCTACAACAAAGAACGAAGCATGAAGAAATTTTCAAAGTGTGATTCGGTCAATTCTCTGGCCGGCCGATATGATCTGAAGTTGTATATTAAGCAGATTCTGATGCTTTTCGTGTTTCCTTACGTCTTGTCTGTGTCGGTTACTAGGTACCGTGGCTTGTATTGACTATGTTTAAAGGCCTTCGGATCTTCTAGTATGATGAAACGGTTACTGTGATTCGACAACTGTCCAGATTGATCCCATTGTCAGATATAAAACGCCGGGCGAAGGTTGCAGTGACTGCCCTGGCAAGGATTGAAGCTTATTTACTGTAGTGGAGATTGAGATAGGTATGTATCAGCGCGCTCAGTCTGAAACCAATCGGAAATAAACGACTGGCCCCAAGAGTTTGTGTTTAGTGATGCTGGCGAGATGGGTAGAAAGTAGTTGAGGGAGATCCAACACGCAGGCTTTTATTCAAACCACAAAGTGTCAATGTGGGTAAGAGGCTGACCTCTAACGGTCAGAGGATACATTAGAGTCGGTATAATCAAGCTCATCCTGCATCCTATTCAACAGCCTGACCGTTACCTGTAGTGTAACCCACCCATGACTACGAGTTCTTGATGCTGCATTGCTTATCAGAGTTCAAGACGCAATCCGTTGTGGACCGCTGAACTTGATACTGTCAGCGAGCGTCCTTGTAATGATTCAGAAAATGGCCTCTGACAACCCAAACGTTTTGCAAATATCACTTTCCAAACATCACCAGCAGCAGTAGCTTCGACGACCTGGGGTCTAACCCGTCAGGGCTATAAGAATCTGCACAGCCCGTGTCAAAAGCGACTCTGGCATAGGATATAGTGGCTCCAAAGAACGCTTCTTGTAAAAAGCGCCAAGCCTTGTGTTCATGAAGAGCTGCAGGAAGTATTCGGAACCCGAACCTGTGTCTGCAAACCTCGATTGCTGGAGTTAGCCAGCGATGGAACACGACATTGACTTCAAGGTATGCGACCAATGCATGCCGTGGATGAAGACCGGACCAGTTGACCCTCCGTTGACAGTATGTATGCGAGAAAGGCTACAACAGCTTATCTGTGACGGAACGTAGAGATTCCGTGACATTACCCATTTCTTGCCTCGCATATCAAGCACGAGAGACATATTTCGACCAGCATGATGTAATCTCTCGGCGTTATAACCAGATAAGTTTGGTTTTACAATGACATATTTCGTTCGAATGTAATGTGCAACGCCGGTTGGGCAACTGCGGAATTTCTCGACCCTCGTTTTGAGATCGATGTATACTTTCTGGGTCTGGAGAGCACGTCAGACTCAGCTTTGGGTTCAAACGATTTCGTGGCGAACTATGGTAGAACGAAGAAACTGAGATATTCAAGATTGCTCCGGGCATCGGCGACATGGCGCTGTCAACAGGAAGGCTATTGTTCCTACTGACTCGAAAACGATTGCAGCAGGGCAGGAAGTTTATTTCTTGTTGTACCTACGACAACTTAGGATGGATGCCCGTCGTCTGAATTAGAGTTCCCGATCCACGGAGAAACCGAGTGCGATGAGAGGCACTAACAGTGGATCTGGAGTCGGGTGCCCCGACGGAAAGTGCCCGAAGAATGCGGACACGGAGCTCTATTCAAGAACAGTGTATTTGGGAGCGTGGCCCAAGCGGTAGCTCAATGGGTGGGAAGACTAGCGCTGATGAAGCCGCAAGGACCTCGTGTCTCAACCCGAGTTTTTGAATGGGGCAAGGGCCAAGAGCGTCAAGAGCCCAAGGATACTAAGAGTTGTCTGGGCGAGCTTGTCCGACCGCTGTCCACTACAACAAGATATTTGGCGTCATTAACCTGAGCCACAAACCACTGTTAGCATTGATCTTCATCTTGGCGAAAATAAATCGTATCTTTTGAGCGATATATACTCAGCTTCGAACGAGAAATCCCGATTGCCATCTGGGGTTCTCCAGATGGACCGGCGAAAGGAGCGAAGTCCAGACATCTCCACACGAACACCCCGCACACGCACAATGCGGGATTAAATTAGAATTCCAAAGGAACCTGAACCGCCAGTGGTGCCCCAAAGGACGAGCGAATCAAAATCGTCAACCGCCCTCGGCCGATGTCCGACACCCAGTACGGCTGCTCAGACCGGGGCAGGAACCTCGAGGGAAAAGGTAAAGCGTCTACTTTACTCTCACTGACCACTACCTATCTGCAGTGGCAAAATTCTTCCAATCAAGAGGATTGTAAAAGGGCCAGAAGACCTTCGGGTTACTGACAAGTTGGGATGGCCCGGGCAAGTTCGGCAAAGCGAATCAATCTTCAGAAGCAGGATACAGAACGAGAATAATATAGCAGATCGAGGCCTAGATAGTTTTCATCTCTGTTTGAGACAGTAATAGAATCATAACGAAGGCGTCATTTCAAGTTTCTATCCCCAGATTGCGGAGATTCTTGGCCTCTTAACTAAAGCTTGGCACTATTTCTGCGTCATGCCCTTGTAACCCCCAGATATCTATCAACCGGATAACTTTTTTGATTATTTTGACGGATATAGTGGAGAGAGTAGTGTAAAGAAATGTCACTGCCGGAGACTTTCTCCTTAGGATTTGGATGGCAGCATTCATGCAAGGAGTCAAGTCGAGACGATATCGGCTTCCCCAAGGGACCAAGACTGCCACCAAAGCTTCCCTTTGGCCCCATCCGGGGGTTAAGCCCTTTGGTGCCACGGTTTCTCTTCTCCTCCGACGCTTAAACTTCCCTAGCGGCTGGCTAGACTGGAGCATGCTTCCACGAGGTAGTGGAACCGTGTAAATCGTCTATGAACTAAGAAACGTAAGGTAGTATTATTTATTCCCCAGGTGGAATAATAACCGGGGTGAGGGGTCATTTCGGCATGACTTGTCTTTCCTTCTCAGCCGAGTCGCTCGTTCGCTGATTTAAAACCGGCCCAGTTCCCTCTGCTGATGCTTTTGCGACATCTCCCTTCTTCATCCACCCTACTGGTTCTACCTCTCATCCTTTCGCTGTCTGTTCCTCTCGGCCAGTTATCCTCTTCCTCAACATGGCTGAACAGTATGAGGGAAAGCCTCACCATAATGAGGCTCCCGTCTCAGCCGCGGACGAGGGCGGTCCTCGCATGAGCATCGTCAGATACCTCGTCACTCGGATCTCGACTTTGAAACCTCCCATGAACCCTGCTCCCAATCCTTTGAAGGCGCTTACGCTCCTGAACAAACAACAATGGTTATTTTTCCTGGTGAGCTAGCCCTTGATCGCCTCCTCACTGAATAACCCTAACTAACCTATCCAGGTCGCCTTTTTCGGCTGGACATGGGACGCCTTCGATTTTTTCACCGTCTCCTTGACCACCTCCCAACTGTCTAAGCAATTCGATAAATCCATCTCCGATATCACCTGGGGTATCACCCTCGTCCTCATGCTCCGATCCGTCGGCGCCATCACATTCGGTATCGCATCCGATCGTTGGGGCCGCAAGTGGCCGTTCGTGGTGAACAACATCCTCTTCATTGTTCTGGAACTCGGTACCGCCTTCAGCCAGACATACAAACAGTTCCTGTAAGTCTCTTTGTCATTGTTCTGTGGAACGTCACTGACCCGCGCATAGTGCCTGCCGTGCTCTCTTCGGCATCGCCATGGGTGGATTATACGGTAACGCCGCGGCCACTGCCCTCGAGGATTGTCCCATGGAGGCGCGCGGTATCGTGTCCGGTCTCCTGCAGCAGGGCTACGCCTTCGGATATCTACTCGCTACCGCTTTTGCGCGCGCCCTCGTCGACACCACCCCGCACGGCTGGAGACCCTTCTACTGGTTCGCTGCTTGCCCTCCCGTCCTCATCATCGCCTTCCGTCTGTGTCTCCCCGAGACCGAGGCGTTCCGTCAGCGCCAGGCCATCCGCGCTGAGGTCCGCGGCGGTGTCACTTCCACCTTCTTCGAGGAGGGCAAGGTCGCGCTTAAGCGCCACTGGCTGCTGCTGATCTATCTCGTCCTGCTCATGGCCGGCTTCAACTTCATGGTATGTCCGACCGCCCCGGCAAAAAGGCAATCCAGCTAACGAGTCAAATAGTCCCACGGCTCCCAGGACCTCTATCCAACCATGCTCACCAACCAATTCCGCTTCTCTTCCAACGCCGTCACAGTCACCCAGGTTGTCGCCAACCTCGGCGCCCTCTCCGGCGGCACCCTCTGCGGCTGGGCGAGTCAGATCTTCGGCCGTCGGTTCTCCATCATCGTCATCGCCATCGTCGGCGGTGCCCTGCTGTACCCCTACACCTTTGTCCAGGACAAATCCGTCATGGCGGCTGCCTTCTTCCAGCAGTTCTGCGTGCAGGGCGCTTGGGGTGTTATTCCTATCCATCTGATGGAGCTTTCCCCGGGCTCGATCAGAACCTTTGCTGTCGGTACCGCGTACCAGCTGGGTAACCTCGTTTCGTCCGCCAGCTCGACCATCGAGTCGACGATTGGGGAGCGGTTCCCCCTGCCGCCGACGGAGAAGGTCAAGCACCGCTACGACTATGGTAAGGTTATTTGCATCTTCATGGGATGCGTCTACGCCTATGTCATTATTATTACCTTCTTTGGGCCGGAGAAGCTGGGCCGTCAGTTTGATGTCGCGCATGACCGCGATATGGAGATCGTGGCCGCTCACCGCGGAGTCGTCGAGGAGGATCCTGAGAAGGCTACGGCTGCTCACAAGGACTAGTGTTTTAAACTCACTAGGACTAAGTGTTTTAAATTGTTTGAAGGAGTTTATGTTTGCATATATACCCTTTATCTGGCTATCATGACGAATTTTGGATGTGCACAATGAATGAATGTGTTTGCTAAGGAGAAATCCGCATATGCTATTGTGGCTACTGTACTGCTTATACCGCTTCAGAATGATATCCAGAGTGTTCAGTTGACTGCAGACGCCGTCAGTATTAACCCATCATTCGCAAAGGGTTGTAGGACTCACCATGATTGCCATAGATGGCTCTGTTGTATACCCGCCCCTGACCCCTCTCAGTCGTGATGAGAGATTTGCCATAGTGATGGCCTTTTTGTGTGATATGTTTCGAAGTTGGTGTTTTCGGTAGTTTGGTTCTTCTCGTGAAGTTGGTGAAAGCCCTTCATCCGGTATATCCTTCTTCCATATCCTCCGTCGTCCTTCCTAGCCCGTCGAAGTCTCTGTTGACGCCCCCAGTTGAATGTCCAATCCACGGCCCTGTCGATGTCTTCTATCAATGTCCCTGTCGAAGTCCCTGTCGAAGTCCCTGTCGAAGTCCCTGTCGAAGTCCCGGTCGAAGTCCACTGTCAATGCCCACTGTCTTGTCTCCTAGTCAAAGTCCGTGTTGATATCCCCACCGGTGTCACCCTCAATGTCCCTGTCGATGTCCCTAGCCAATGTCCTGTCCGCGTTCCTGGCGATGTCCCTGTCAATGCCCCGTATCGGATGCCCCGTATCGACGTCGCTAGTCAGTATCCCTGGCCGATATCCCTGTCGTTGTCCCTGTCGTTGTCGCCATGACGGTCGGGGTCGTCGGGGTTGTCGTCTGCGTTAGGCTCGCCGGTATCTGCAAGTGATAAACGTGGTAAGTAGTATGGCACTTGAAGAGCACGGTGCTAGAGATCTGGAGCTAAAGACTGCATGTAAAGAGAATCTTACTCAGCTATGCCCGTCATGCCATGCCGCCTTCTCCCTCTCATGCGATTTCCTCCCATGACAATAGTCGGTTTGATGTCCGTGTGCTGCACCAAGCTTATGAAGTCGTACCAGCCTTCTGAAAGCTATTGGTTTTGACTTTTTCACTTCACACAATCCGAATATGTCTTCAACGTCTCAGGATGTAGTTTGACTGAATCCTCATCACCGACGTCGATATTGTCAAAGTCTCGAGAAATAGAGTACACAAGTCCTTCATCACCAACGTCGGCTTCAACAACGTCTCAGGAAATAGAGTACCCATCACTCTCATCATCAACATTGGCAATATTGACGTCTCGGATTGTAAACATGATCCTTCATCACCGACGCTGTGATCTGGGGTCGAGCCCGGGGACCAGATTGGCCTCGAATTACTCGCCCTTGAATGGTGGCATATGGACGCGGTGCGTCTCTTAAATGCCCGAGCGCACTGTGTGCTTGCCCTTCCCATTCGCTCACGCAGAAAGCCATCGAGCAATTGCTGCAACGTAGGCGTTTTCTGGTAAGAGCCGGAGTTGAAATAAAGGTATCCGCCATTATTCGCAAGCTCCGAACCCAGTCATTCTTCCCGAAGACCGGATTTTGACAATGGGCTCAGTTTCTACCTCGCCGCGATTGTCACCAGTGCCAAAGGGATCTTGGAACAGATTGTTCTTATCTCCAATGTCACTGTAACCGACATCGAGTTCTGTGACCAGCTTGGCCTCGGACTTCTCGCTGTCGTTGCATGGTGGCACAGAGACAGGTGCTTCTTCTGAAGCATTGACTGCCTCAGCATGAGTTCTCTCAGCTTTGCCTTTGCCATACTGCTCTTGCAGATTGGTGTGTGTCATGGACAACAACGATTTCTGCTAAGAACTGGGGCTGGAACAAGCATCCACATGTTCTCAAGCACCCATCGAGAATCGGATGAGTCATTCCAACTTCAACTTAATTCTCATCACCGTCATTGGGATATGGACCTGGTCCATCACCAATTTCGGTGTCGACTTCGGGTTATGTGACCATTACGGCCTCATCTCTCCCGATGCCGTTGAATGGTGGCACAGAGACAGGTGCTTCTTCTGAAGCATTGACTGCCCCAGCATGAGTTCTCTCAGCTTTGCCTTTACCATTCTGCTCTTGCAACGAATACCAGCAACGAGAGCTGCAAAGAGCGGGGTCGGATCAAGCTTACCCTTGTCCTTGAGCTCAAATGCCAGAGTCGCTTCGTAAAAGTACTCTTGCCTGTGGCGTGGCCTTCCCTTAGATGCTACTGAGTCATGAACTCTTCGCTTCGTAAGGGGTGTGTTGGAACAAGGTGCTCCTTGTCCTGAGCTCTGAGGCCAGAGATGCTTCATAGAAACACTCTTGCCGTATGGCGTGGCCTCCCCTCAGATGCTAGTGAGTCATGGACTTGTCGCGTCTTGAGAGGTAAAAGGGAGCAAGGTTCTGCTTGTCCTTGGGCTCGAATGCCACGGACGCCAGTTGGAGGTTACCCTTGTCTCGCGGCGTGGCATGCTCTCGAAGGTTAACAAGTTCTGAACTTGTAGTGTTGGGAGAGCAGGGCTGGAGTATGGCTTCTCTTGCCCCCGAGCTCGGGTGCCAGAACGGCCTCGTAGGGGCTGCTCTTGACGATGCAGAGATGTCCCACGGAGACTATCTCTCGCCGTTCGAGGCGAAGGAGGGAAGGGAAACTTACTTACCCTACTTACCTATAATTCGGCGCCATTCGATGTCGAGATGATTGGCTGAAACGGTACCGAGCTTTTTGAAGTATTTGAAGTGATATCCGATTGTAAGGCCCTCTACAAACGCGTTTTAGCTCACAGTCAGCCAGCAGCGGCGGGTTAAGGGAATGTGGCGCTACTCACCTCCTGCAGATCAAATATTAGGAACAGGATTTGCACGCATCTTGTTCGTAGTACTTCGTATTAGGTTCCGAATGCGAGTAGTTCAAGCGCTTAACCTTTTGGTTGTACTGATCTGAATGTCCATCAGTCACTTGGCCTAAGGAGTAGTCTCGATCAGCCTTTTTGGTATGGGTAAGTAGCAACTCAAATGGTGAACACATACCTCGCTCTTTGTCTCTGTGTTTTGAGCGAGGGGATGGATAATCCGTATTTACTGACCGATTATATCATGGTAAAGCTCCTTCACCAAATTCTGATGAGAGTTACCGAGCTGATGATTGGCTATTGGAAGGAGGAAGTCCTTATGAACAAGGAAATGCTCGCTCACTTTGAAAATGGAAGAAATTTGAGCGGCGGCTTCCAGTCCAGCCCGATGACTTGGTGAAGATGAAGATGAAGATGAAGATGAAGATGAAGATGAAAATGAAAATGACAAATGAAAGTGAAAGTGAAGATAAAGAGAAACGGGAAGATAGAAAGAATGCAAGAGGAGAAGGAAGAGGCAGCAGATTCACAAGTTTTGCTCTTCCTCAGCACACTCAACGATATTTGACAATCTGCAACCCTACTTAGCAATATTCACATTCAGTGAAGTGTACAGTCTTGATAAATATCATTCTTGTGGGTATCTTCTACCATCTTCATCAAATGAACAGAGGACCTATAAAACAATGCTTTAAATGTACAACTATCACTGTCCGTCCTTAACCAGTGTCTAGCAATATGGTGTCTGAAAAGTTGGAGGTGTAACCTGATATATGCATGTGCTATGGAATTGGCAGCCATCGCTCTCTCGTGAACAACCTTCTAGAGAAGACAAGTGGTCCTGATCATCTATTCCACTCTTAAGAAACCGGCCTTCTATATCATGTCTCGTTGATAGATTATGGAGACTGCATTGAAGGATAGTATTCCGTATCAAGACTAGTTCAAGATTGAAATCAATTCGTCGAATTTACGGATCGAATATTGAACTGGAGATATAACAATGCCATATATCTAACAAGGACGGAGTAGCCAAACTCGGCAAATCCGCCATGCCCAACACCCTCAGCAGATCCACGACGCCAGCAGAATATAATGATATTACAATGCATCTAGATGGATCTGCGATTGGACAAAGAGTATGACATTTAATAGTCACGAAGGTATATTTAGCCGAGGTGCCTTAGTGAGATACAACTTCATGCTGGAAGGCAGTATAGCAGATGTCTGTCCGGGAGGTAGGGGTTTTCTGTGATTCCTAATAGACAATAACTCCCATCAATATTTACTCTCCTTATAGGAAAAGTCCTTCACTTTTGCCTTGATAATAGTGACTAACGCATTTAGATGCATTGTAATATCATTATATTCTGCTGGCGTCGTGGATCTGCTGAGGGTGTTGGGCATGGCGGATTTGCCGAGTTTGGCTACTCCGTCCTTGTTAGATATATGGCATTGTTATATCTCCAGTTCAATTATGCGCCCGTTACGATATTTGTTTAGGCGCTTCACTGCCACATTGTTGTCACAAGCGGCATCATTCAAAAGAACATTCCCGCCCACTTTCCTCTCAGAAGCTCTCTCAATTCTCAACCATCCGTTACCCAACTCTGACTATCATGCCTCCTTCTAAGCCTTACCTCTGTTCCCTTGTCATACCCCCGCTTAGAAATGACCAACATACACATACAATAATTCTCCTCCACGGCCGCGGCAGTAAAGGCGAGGACTTCGGCCACATCTTCATGGAATCAACGGACATCGCGAAGCGCCTGCCAACAACCAAATTCATCTTTCCCACCGCGAGTAAACGGCGCTCTACTGTAATGAAACGGATCCCTATCAACCAATGGTTCGACAATTACTCGCTTAAGAATCCGAATACCCGGACCGAATTACAAATTGATGGACTACAGGAAAGTAGCGATTTTCTTCGGAAATTGATTGATGAAGAGGCGAAGCTCTTATCGAATGATCCCGCTGTTGGTGACGGTTATAGCCGGGTCGTGATTGGGGGCTTGAGCCAGGGGTGTGCGGCTTCTGTTTTCTGTCTTTTGGGGGGATTTCTTTCTGCGAGTAAGGATGGAGATGGTAAACGCCTTGGGGGATACATTGGGATGAGCGGGTGGTTACCGTTTGAAGGGGAGATTTCTGGGCTTTTGAGTATTGATGAAGACCATCAGGGAGAGCCAAAGTCAGGCGCTGAAGAAGACGACGAGGACCCGTTCGACCATGAAACAGATGGTGACGATAGTCCTGCGCACATCCAAGCAGTCAATCATATCCGGGATATTCTCGCTATGCCACCCATTCAGTCTCACGTTGATGACTCGGCGAATGCCTTACGTGTGTGTTACTTGAAAACACCGGTATTCCTGGGCCACGGGTCTGATGATCGCCAAGTGTCGGTAGACTTGGGGCGACGGATGGCGTCCATCCTATCTGATGGGTTTGGGATGGATGTGACCTGGAAAGCATATGAGGAGTTCGGACATTGGTATAAAGTGCCGGACGAAATCGATGATGTGGTGTGGTTCTTGAGGGAGAAGGCCGGGTTTCCTTTTGAGAACGTTGAGTAGTCGTTATCACTATAATAGGGATCATTAGAGCATATGATGCTGCAGCAATCGGAGACTCGATCCTTGCCAACATGCTTGCCGGAGCACTTTGGCCCAAAGAAAACTGCCAGCTTGCGCGGTTATGGTCACGCAAGACTCCGTGGCAGCCAGAACCACCTTCTCACCTCGTTGCTGCCGAAGGAATCCCGTCTCTTGTAAGTAGATTTTCTGCCTTTCTCGCCTTCTTGGGACAAGCCAGAAATATGAATCGAGTGGCCCTGCTAAGACCTACTACTCAGGCCCGGACCTCTTTACTTGCATTATGATGTAGGATTTCAACAGTATGTATGGAGATGGCTTCATTCTCATCCATCAGGAGTCCGCAGCAATGCCTTTTAACTTTGAATGATTGCGGGCCCTTGCGCGAGACTTGATGGAGAATCTCGAAATTTCGCCAAAGCTATGATGCTTTAAGGCTCGCAGCTGGACAATTCCGAAGCCAGCCCAAGACGCAATATAAGCCTTACATCGGTGATTGAAAGCCATTATCCCCTGCGAAAACAGTTCAAGGAGCGAGTGAGAAAGTAAGCGTATAGAACCACGGTATCATGTCTGATCCTCCTGGTCAATTCAGAAATGAGGGAAATAACGCCTGAAAGATTGCGATACCTATACGGACTATCACAAGCAGCAATAAAATGGGAAAAAGGGGAACTTACGCATCATGGCAGCCCCGCTAGTGAAGAAGCAGACATCAAGCCTCTTGCTCCTTGTCTTGACTGAAAGGCTCACGCGCCCTTGGTTCGGAAACGACTGTCGTGAGTTCGCCATCAAACTTATACTGCAGAGGACAAAACTGTGCCAGGAATCGTTCGACAACCCGAGTCGGGCAATTTGACATATGATGCGCATGCACAGTAGAAGTTACCATTGCAAAAATCTCCCTATGTAACGTCTCAAGTGGTGTCTTATCATCTATTCTGTATTGCTTTTCTCTATTAAGGCATTGCATTGCCCAAAGGTAGGAGGGTGAGTGGCGCTAACCCTTTTGTAGTTTAGTGCTGAATTTGTTCCTCACCACCCAACTTCAACGAATTTGTATGGTGGGCAGGACTTCGTACAGCTTCAATTTGATTATAGCGAAAGATGTGACGCCGCATGAAAATTCATCCCTGAACAACTATAATTGTACCAGCCATTCATATGAATCATGAACGACTAAAATCATATTATCATCATAAAGTCTATACGCATAAAAGGTCTGTAGCCGAGTACATAGCCAGCAAAGCGTCAAATCCAAACCCAGAGCTTTTCTCTTTTCCAGCACACGATTAGATGTCATCCTCATCCGAGAAAACTTCTTCACCGCGCTTCCTGTAAACATGTTAGCAAATGCATTTTGAATCAAACGGAACGGGGAGACAAACCGTCTCGCGATCCTCTCCTTCTTCTTTTTACGCATCTCGGATGCAGTCAACTTCTTCTTCTTCTCTTGAATCGTCTTGTTGCCAAACGCATCGGTTATCTCGGTGTCTCCCTCCTTGTCGGCCAGACGAGGACCGGATCCTTGACCCTGAACCCAGTTGTGGCCCGAAGGAGTCATCTTGCCGTCCATGACAGCCCAGACTTCCTCGGTCAGGTTCTCAGTGAACTCACGGGAGTGGGTAATAATAACGACACCACCCTCGAAAGACTTGAGAGCCTTGGACAGGGCACCCAAAGAGTCACGGTCAAGATAGTTGGTGGGCTCGTCGAGGACGATGACGTGAGGACGTTGCCACGAGCAGGCGGCGAGGACAACCTTGACACGCTGACCACCGGAGAGACCGCGCATACGGGAGTGAGAAACGAGTTCGGCATCGAGACCGAAGTTGGCGCAGTGGACCTCAATCTCCTTGCGAACCAGGGGACGGAACTGACCGCTGGCAAGGGCCTCCTTCTGGTCAACCTCGGCAACCATCTTGGCGTGGGACTGGATAATCTCGCTACGAGGAATCCAGGCGTTGTCATTGCTCATCATAGGAGTCCACTTCTCGCTCTTCATGCCAATGTTCTCACCAAGAGCGAAGGAGCATTCGTACTCGTAGCTGTTCTTGAACTTACGACGAGCGTGGATACCGATGACACGACGGAAGGTACCTTCGATCTTGTAGATCTTGTCCATGGCCTTCTCATCATCCTCGGTGACGATCTTGTTGGCGCGGTCCATTGTCTCACGGTCCTCACCAGTCTGGAAACGCCACTGAATGTACTCAGAGGGAGTCTTGTCGAGGTGGTTATCGATGTGAGCGAAAGCATGCTGCTTGATGTAGGCGATACGGATGTTCTCGTGCTGGTAGACGTCACCGCTGGTGGGGATGAGCTCACCAGTCAGGACATTGACCAGGGTAGATTTACCAGCACCGTTGGGACCGATGACGGCGATACGAGAGCCCAGAGAGACTTGGAAGCTGATGTCGGTGAGCTGGGGCTTGGGAGTTCCAGGGTACTGGAAAGACATGTTGCTGACACGGATGATGGCCTTGGCCTTGGTCTTGACACCCTCAAGGAAACCAGGCTCGGGGAACTTGAACTCCATGTCCGAGGCGCTGAGTTCGTAGTAGGAACGAGCACTGGGAACCTTCTTGACGAACTCGCTCAGGTTACCGCGGTAACGCTTGAGCTTGAAGCGCTCGTAGTGGACGACGTGCTGGATAACATTATCCAAGAACTTGCTGTCGTGGGAGACGATGATGGAAGTGCAAGGAGAGTTGCAAAGGTAGTTCTCCAACCAGGCAACGTTCTTGACGTCCAAGTGGTTGGTAGGCTCGTCAAGGAGCAGAATGTCGGGCTTCTCAAAAACGGCACGGGCAAGAGCCAGCTTCATCTTCCAACCACCAGACAGAGAGGTGATGGGGCCTTCGAACTGCTCACGCAGGAAACCGAACTCTTCGAGCTTGGATTCGACCTCGGACTGGGTGGTGTCGATACCGACCTCACGGAGCTTCTTCATGGTCCAGCCAATGACGGTCTGCTCAGTGTCGGCGGCATCCAAGTCGTGCTCAACGTAGACAGTCTTGACCTCGTCCTTCTTGGGGAAACCTTCAAGCTGCTCGTTGTTGATGGCACGCATCAGAGTAGTCTTACCGGTACCGTTGGGTCCGAGAAGACCGTAACGCTGGCCACGCTTCAGGCGGAGAGAGGTCTGGTTCAGCAGGATCTTGGCACCATAAGCAAGAGAGAAGGTGCAGTTGCAGAGATCTTCGCCCTCCTCCTCGTCGGACAGAACGGCATCAGCGTCGGCAGCGCCAGGAGAAGCACGCTTGCGCAGAGTCTCAGCAATGGCCTTGGCTTCCTCCTCACCAACAATGGCGGTGATGTAGGGAAGAGCGTTCTGGGTCCAGCTGATGACCTCGGCGTCCTTCTCGTCAACGAGTTGACCAGCGATGGCACCGACATAGTTGATGATGGCCTCAGACTTCTCGATCTGAGCCTTGTACTTGGGGGAGAGGATATCCTTTAGAATACCAGCGACGGTCTCAACGTCACCAGCAGTGGAGATCTCGGGGATCTTGCCATCCTTGACATCACCAACACGGACGAGGGTGTCCAAGGCCTGCTTGGTCTTCTCACGGGCCTCAGGGTCGGCAAGGGTATCGAAGTTCTTCTCGAGACGGGGCATCAACTTGGGCAAGAAGGGAGCGACAATCTGGGGGTCCTCCACGAGCTTGCACATGTTGTCGACAATGACAGCGGACTTACGCTTGATGGCAGTCTCACGCTCAACGAGACCACGGTCAAGCAGAGGGACCATGATGGCGAGGGTAGGACCAGTGACATCGGAAACGAAAGTGGTGGCACCGAGCAAGTGAACAGTCTCAGGAACGTTCTCAGGCTTGGCGATACACTTGATGAGCTCGGGAATGAAGCGCTCAATATCCTTGTTGACGATCAAACCGCAGACCTTCTCCATGGTGGAGTAGGCAGCCTTCTTGATATCGGCCTTGGTGTCCCACATGGCCTCAGACACAGCGGGAATCAGCTCCGGCACGCGGAAGGAGAGCTGAGCAGGAGCGGACTCGACGAGGCAGTTGAGGCAGTCGAGAGCGCACATCTTCTCCTGCCACTTCTGGGCGTTCTGCAGGGAGTTCAGAATGACCGGCACAACAGCCTTGACGGCGTTGGCGTTGATGCCCTGTACAATTGCGAGGGCGGCAGCCTGGGCAGCCTTCTGCACGGCAGTCATCTTGTCACCGGCAGCAGCGAGGACGGGGCCGAGGAGAGAGACGAGGTGGGGCTCGACACCGGGGGCGATTGTCTGGTGGGAGGCGATAGCGCGGATGGCCTCGCAAGCACGCTCACGGGCAGTAGCATCCTTCTTGTTGTTGAGCTGCTTCTGGAAAGCCTCAACGGCCCTGGGTGAAGCCAACGTTAGTACACGCAGGCAATTTCGGAACCTTGCGGTCAAACTTACTTGAGTGGCAGAGTCTGTTCAGGGATAGGACCGCTGAAGTAGGTGGCGAGGTTGCCAGTGGCAGCGTGAACCTCGTCAGCACTTGTCGAGATGTTGAGGTTCTTGATCAAGTCCTCGAGAACGGCGACAGCCTGGGCAGTCTCCTTGCCAGAGACGGCAGGAACGGAAGAAACATCAACAGCAGGCATTTTGGACGAAATCGTGAAGACGAAAAAAGGTTGAAAGAATTAAGTGATGAGGAAAAAGAAGAACGGGCGAAAGGCGTTCTATTAGGGTATCTCAATCAAGAGGTGGCGGCCCACGAAAACTGCGTCTGTGTAAAAGACGACGCAAGAGACGCTCTAGATAAAATCTATGCTTTTGTCTATGCAGAAGACAAAAAGGAAAATGAAAAGTAAAGAGAGGACTAGACCTCTTTTCAGAAGAAGAAAGGATGAGGAGGGAGACAAAGTGAGAAGGAAGAGGGGAATAGGAGGATGGGGAGGGATGATATTTATCGGTTTGTGGCCTCTTTTTGCCGCCCAACCTTACAGCGCAGCCAGAAAAAAAAATTTGAAAAGATAAAAAATTTTTCATCGTTGTCCCGCGCTAAGACCGCATTTGCACTAGTCGCTTTGGCTGTCGAAGCAACCAACCCGATAGGGTCCGTGTCTCCTTCGGGCTAAACTGGCCGCTGCTGATTGGCCAGCAACCCTCCATGATGGCGACAGGGAGAAGAACCCAGTTGATGGAATGATTTTTGACTGGAACTTCTTCCTTTTTTCTTTTTGGCTCACACCAAATTTGGATCGGGCAAACCGAATACTGAAAGTTCCTTGTCAAGGCTTACGATTTTTTTTACTCGATGCGATGGAAAATTTCGTTCAAGTTCTATTAGCAATAGAAAACTTTTGTGATCTTCAGTGTGATACTGCGAAAGTCGATAAGATTAGTGGAATGTAACTTGGCCTTAGGAGGCAACATCAATAATGAATAATTATGAAATATGGAGGTACTTCCAGCCAATCATAGTTTGAGGATTGAGCAACAGCCTGTAGCCCCTTTCTTTCTAATGAATGATTATTACAAGGCTGATGGAATCTATGTACAACACTTGCACAAACCCGGGGCAGAAATTAAATGAAATACATTTACCATTCTCTAATTAACAACGAGCTGAGCAGGCTTACGGAGGCTTGAAAATGAGGATGGACAGCAATGAGTATTTCATATACTGGAAAACCGGATGCTGCGCATCCCTTGATCAGCATTTGCGCTGTTGGGCTAGAAGTCTAGTCCCTGACAGGTGTGAATCCGGGGATGCAACAGTAAACCACTGCAGTTGACTAGTCTCCGTGAAATTGTTGGGGCTGCAGATGCTGCTGGGGCTATTTCTGTCGCCACAAAGATTCTCTGCTTGTACCTCGACTTGGTGGCGCAGCCCATTCTTACTTAGCCTTTGGGCTCGGTCTTTGTACCAAAAACATGTGAGAAGTCTGGAGGCCAGCAAAATGACGACCGACAAACATAGATTATTTTTAGAGTTGGGAAAGCCTTCTCCATTCGATCGCTTTATCCGCTCTTGCCGGTCATTCCCGCAGAGTAAGATGATGGCTAAGCCGATACTCTGTCGTACTCCGTAGATACTCCGTCCAAGCCATGCCTTTCTGACTAGATAACGATAAGCGCACGATTGTGATAACAAGGCGGTGGAACTAGAAAATTCAGGGAACGCAAGCTTGAATATCATTTTTTCTTTGAACTATCTGTTCGATCAACATTCTACGCTAGTATATTCTTCGCATTGCCTTCATAAGAGGATCGCGGGGGAAATATATGAAAGGGGACCGACCCCTTTCTTGTCGAAAAGAAGGCCAGAAAGTCAAAATGCAACCGAGATTGCAAGGAAAGGGGACAAGCACAAAAGTGACAAGAAGACTCCGTACGTATTCAGGGATAGTCTGGGGTCCAGCGTTGTTCATACGAAGCAGCTTGCTACTCGTTCATTTCCCAACGTCTGAAACGATGGCTTACAGGAGGCATGGATGAGCATCACCGCCATTCTTCCCTGACAAGGAAAAGGACGAATCTCACCGCTTAATCTGTTATCTGGCATGTAGCATAGCATAGTAAAACCTCTCGACCAATTTATCAAACTGGCTGCTCCTAGTTTGAACTTTATGGTTGGTTTACGTGGTTTCCTTTTTCCCCTTCCCAAAAAGCATGGGTTCATTGCAGATGACTCCCCTGAGAATTGATTACTCAAAGGCAGCGAACTACCAAAGATACTACGGAGTACGTACTTCGGAAATCAAAAATCCATCCTTATCCCCTTATCGTTGCTTATCGAGTATCGGAATCAATATTTTCGATCCTTTACAGGGCGCCTCGTTATCGCTATCAGAATCTCCGGATTGAGATCCCTAATCCTGCCTTATCCCCCGCGAAAAAAGCCGGAGAAGGTGGCAAGCCGGTGGGTCAAAAACTTTAACCTCAGATTTATTGTTCTTTCAATACCTTAGATAGGCATTTCGGACTTTCGGTAGATTTCAGGATCTTAGTCTATTCAAACTTTGTCTAAATTTTTTGTCTCATTTTGATTGTCCCGTTTGTTATGATTTTTGGGAATTTTTTCTACGTCCCCTGTTGCCGATTCCACGAATTTTTCCGACCAGATCTCGTCCTTGCTCGTCAAGCATAGAGAAGCCCAGAAATATTTTTTCCGAAGTAAACCCATGTATCTCCTGAATCACGGTCAACCTCCACATCAAGGACGTCGCCCAGTTCCTCAGTATCATGACTACCTATCCGTAACTTGAACCATTCGTTCATCCCCCGATAATCAAACTCCTCATATCCAATCAGATTATATATCATGTCATCCGGCCATGTCACAGTCAGAGCATGAGTAAAATACCAGTCAGCTGTCCGCTCGCCACCACTCCCACCTACACATTTATTACGTCTTGACTCAGTAATCCTACACCCAGAAAGAGACGCAATAGGATAAACCTGAAATTCAAATGAACGGTGGTAACCAGTCCCGTGGCCGACACTCGGCGGACTATCCAGAGAGTCTCCATAAATCGCAACCATACAGCGTACATGATCTTCCCAGATTTGCCACCCGACTTTCTTCGGAGCTTCCAAGCTCAACTTCTAGAACGTTTCCCGTTTCTACCGCCGACAAAGCCATTGACGTCGCTCATTCTGGACCTTAAATGGGACACTTTTACTGCCGTTCCACAGGAATGGGCTATAGTTACCGAAGCGGGACCGATTCGGTCCAGGAGTTATGATGTGGCAACAACAAGAATGCTTGGTACGCTGAGCATTGGGGAGAAAGTACGCCCTGTAAGAGCTGGCCGAGTGTCAACAGCTTCTCAAGCCGATTACGAAGGTGGATCCAATATAACGATGGAAAATATACATTTGTGCTGAACGATAAACTGTCAACAGTCTGTCAACTATACGGATGTAAGAATACTGAAAACGCCAGGGAACACCATCTTCATCTTCGGCTGTTTTGTTCATAGAGAGCACAACAGGGTATCATCGTAACTGTCGTAGCTAGACTTGCAGCGAACAAGCTTGGCAAAAGATCAAAAATGAACTTGCGCTTAGGCGACCAAGGGAATTAGTCAGAGGAGCTCGAGCTAGAAGAGCTAGAACTCGATCCACGCCTGTGGCCCTTGTGGTGCTTCTTCTCCTTCTTGTGCTTCTTCGTCCTATTCAAAAGTTAGAGTCTATTACGATCAGTCAAAGTAAGTGCTGAGCCTTACATCTTACTGGCCATGTTCATTCCAGCAGCGCCTGCTAGTGCTCCTCCAGCAGCGCCTAGAAGTCCACCGCCGAGCTTTTTGCCTATAATCCCACCAGCAGCACCTCCAAGCAAGGTCGAACCCAGGCCCCTTTCGCCCTCCTGTCCGACGGGAACAGGAGCATGCGCCCCCTGGTAGTGTTGTTCCGGGTGAGGAGCGCCATAGTAAGATGCGCTTGCGCCTTGGGGATTGTGTTGCTGCTGCTGCGGGGGATACGGAGAGTGACCGCGGTCGTGTGGCGGATAGTTCATGGGCGCGCCTTGCCCGTAGTTTTGATCACCTGGATACCCGCCCTGCTGGTGAGGAGCGCCATGTTGAGGCGGGTAGCCATGTTGGCCGTAGGAAGGGGGAGGACCGGAATATTGTGGATGGTGCTGTTGCTGGTCGTAGGAAGGCTATCAAACCAGGAAAAGTTAGCTCATGAAAGTGCCTTCAAGTAACGGCGCGACCAAACACATCATTGACCGTGCAATAATTTCAGAAACACAATTCGACCAAGGGATTACTTACTCCAGGTGGGTAATAGCCATGTTGCTGGGGAGGCTGCCCGTACTGGCCTTGTGGGGGAGGGTGGTTGTAGTTGTGTTGACCTCCGTAGTATCCGTCGCTGGGCTGGCCATGGCCTTGCTGCGGGGCACCGTATTGATTGTAGTGGTTGTTGTATGGATCAGACATGGTGATGAGAGTGAGATAGTGAGTATTTTGTCTTCGATGGATGAAATATTGCAAATACACAATAAGGAAAATGAAAGGGCAAGGCGCAGGTAAGGTGGTCTTATATATGAAGGACTGGCGTTCGCAATCTCAGTCCCAATGGCGGGGCCGTCTGACAATGATGGAAGGAGCCACGGCTCAGCGCGAAACTTGGTGAAATTCAGGGGCTCCGTCCCAGTCAGTACGTGGATTACGAGGCGGTGCAGCGCCTAAGCCATGATTTATTACCAATAAGATTACCTACTCTTGAGATTGACATGAGTGTTATCTAGGATGTAAGAGCCACAATAGGAAGGGAAATCAACTCTGAGATTGAATTGTATTTCATGCACCGCCCCATGATCCTTCGAAGTATTTCCAGTAGAATGTGGCTACTGTGGCTAAGCAGTTGACGTATATGACAAGCAGCTGGGAAATGAGACATGAAAATCTACTAACACATTGTTCACAATCAGGAGCTGATGCTTATATGACTACATCTATTAATAAATCCAATCTCAGCTCTTCACAATGCTGGGTCATCATTATATGTCCGTGGTTCAGGATATTTTCCTGTTTGTGGATATCGCCGCCAATATATATCTGTAACGAAAGCTCTCTCCTCTAGAAATAATCTACACACTGGCCGGATTATTGTCAGGCTCGGAAACGAGATGGCCTAATACACTCAGCTGATAAAGGCGAAGGGGAATTAATCAGAGAGCAAATATGTGACTGCCAACCTAACTGTTGTGTTGCTATCAAACCTGCGCTGGTGACGATGGAACAATTTGACCTCCTCCCCCTCCCCTTCCTCCGTCGTGGCCTTATCAATGACGGCCGCAGCGATATGAGAATGCATTTTCTCTGGATTTTTTTTATTTTATTTTATTTTTTTTTTATGTCCAGCTCGTTTGCTTACTTTCATGCTTCAACCAAGGACCTATGTGGTCTCTTCAGATCTGGAACCAGCCCACTTCAGCCGCTGACACCGAATCTTTCGATGGAGTTATGTGGTTGAAAGACGAGCATAGCGCTGCTCATGGCCGTACTCATACCATTCAGACAGACACTATGGTATTTGGCTAGCTAACTCAGCTCCGTGGGGTCCTTCCAGATAATGGTCTTAGTCGACCGTCTGATTCTCGCCCCAAGCACCTGTCTCGCGTCGGAAGAAGACATGAATGCTGTCAATACGTAGATGATGGCGAATAATACTATGGACCGATATGCAAGCTACTATTCGAAGAGTCTGTCAAGGAAAGCAGTGGGCCTGGGACTTTAATACATGCAACCATCTCATGTAAGCTGGCCTCATATCTCAAGATCCATGACTTCCGCCATGTTGCTGGTAGTTTCCAACAAGTTATAGATTCAGTACTCCCGTTTCGTACACAGACGAGATTCGGTCATTAGACCATTCAAGGAGTCGGGAGCTGGCCTCTTTTTGACATTTGCCGTACGAGCTGCCACCGCTGAAACATCTTCCTTTCCCTCGTGTCCTTTCCAACCTGGGCCGATGGTGTTGTACCGTTCAATGCTGCTTGTAACCATCCACAATAGTGGACTGGTTTGAGTTTCTGGTTGGGGATAGAAACAGAGTGGGTGACTGTGTTTCCGGCAATGACAGCGGCTCTAGGTTCCTTATTGGAGGACTTTGCAGCGGCACTACAAGCAGCAGGATTGTCATCATCGTCTGAGCTAATCACACCGTCTGTAAAGTCGGCCTATGCAGCAGAGGCAAGGAGCCCATGCAACCTTGGATTGGTTTCGCTTATTCCGGATGTTTCTTACCTATATCAACTTGAGCCTTCAGAGTCAAATATACATTGAATGAAATCATCTCTGAATGGATGTCTTCTATAGCTATTATCTGTGGCATTTGACTGTAGTATTCACTACACTAGCCCACTTCCATAGAAGTCTTCGGTCTTGTTGGATGCCATTCACTGGATTCGATTGCGGACGCAGCTCAGGGTATTCGACATACCCCATTCACTGATGATAAACCCCTGTTCTTCTTCAACCTCGCTCTCAGCTTCTCACCCTGCTTCTGCTTCGCTTTCTCCTTGTGATGCTCTTTAATACATCACCCTCTACCACTGCTCATCCACTTGCAGAATGTATGCTACCCGTCCCGTTCTTTCTTGCACGGTATGCATGGCTAAGTATAAGCAGAACCCGACAACGTCCCATCATCGAAAGGGCGATGGCACCTCTTTCAATCTGAGCATAACCGGGCTCCGTGGACGCAAAATCAAACGGCCCCGTCCCCAAAAGGTAATAGAATAATACGAGCATTCTTGATAGGCACATGGCTAACTGACTTATAGAGGACCCGCCTTGATAAAATCAAGGAAGAATGGAGAAAGGAGTATTTAGAAGAGGTAAGCTCCCTTAAGTATCAATGCATACATATGTGTACAGTTATGACTATGTCCTCTATACTATATGCACTATATATCTTAAGATGGTACTAACTGTAAGCTTATTATTAGCTCCGAGCCCAGCACTGGGTCGTTCCTGATCACCCCGCTGAGGGAGAGGATGAGGGGCCTGGCCAGGTGGTTGACCTTACCCCTGGTCAGGCTCTTCGCAAAGAAGAGCTTCTGTTGGACCTTGCCAGTCTGAAAGAGATTAAGGACCAACACCTGGCGAGAAAAGAAGAGCTAGACGAGCAAATCAGAGGCCTCCAAGAGAAGTTAGAGCATGCGGATGCGGCCTTCAAGAATACCAGGAAAGAAATTAGTGACATAGTCAGAAAGGTCAGCAAGGTCGTGTAGAGACTGAAGATATGTCTACTACAAGTCGATAGGAAAAGAAGACCGAGGAGGCCTCCACCTCCGCCTCTGCCGCCACCGGCCCGCCCCCGTCCAAGGTAATATAATAATACCAGCATTCTTGATGGGACACATGACTAATTGTGACTTATAGAGGGCTAAGTTGTCGAAATGGAAGAAAGAATTCCTGCAGGAGGTAAGTTTTCCTTTAAGTATCGATGCATACATACATATATAGATATGTACTTTGTACTCTATACTATATGCACTATATATCTGAACTTAGGACTAACTATAAGGTTATTATTAGCTCAAAGATGCCAATTGGGTCGTCCCCGAGAACGAAGAAGTCGTGGGGCCTGGTGCCAGCGGACTGACATCACCGCTGGTCAGGCCCTCCGAAAGCAGGTGTTGCTCCGCGAACTTGAGGAGAGGAAGGCCATCAAGAACCGGCACCTGGAGGAGAAGAGGGGGCTGTCGCAGGAGATCTCAGCGTTAGAGGAGGGGATCCGCGGCCTCCAAGCGGACTTGGGAGGCCGCGGATCAAGCCTTCCTCAAAGCCAAAGAAGACGTGGCTGAGACGGTGCGCAAAATCAACAGCCTATAAGGAGGCGGAACTTCGTCAATACGCTGCTTTAAGGATCAAACCAGGTCCACGAGACTTTTACTTCTTGATGTTCTGAACGGAATGAATAGTAGCTATGTCTACTGCAAGTAGACAGAATGAATAAGTCAAGTCCAATCTACCTAATCCCAATATACATACACAGTAATCAGTCATCTCCCTATCGAACTCGGTCAATCCTCAGCATGCCATATTTGTCAACATATGGACTTTCTCCTTTAGTGACCCAGACCCCGTGATGGGATGGATTCACACAATCAAAACCACCCTCATGCCGCCAGACAGCTTCCATCTCTTCTCGAAATTTGGTTTTTGGCTTGTTATCTCTGATTCGCAGCTTTTCGAAGAATACATACGCTGCGTAGAAGACGCTGCTTGTGTTACCCGCATTGGCACCACGCTTGGAGAGAAAGTCATTAAGTACATTGGCATTGAGTTTCTTGTCTGTACCCGGATACGCAGCTTTCGCGATATCGCGCAGGAACTGAGCTTTGGTCACGTCCGGGTCACGAAGATGTGCATTAATCTTCTTTCGAATAAGGTCACAAGTGTCCCAGACGGGGACACTCTGGTCCGACTCACCGTCGAGATGAATACCAGACACATCGTACTTTTCGGCAACATTTTTCTGCGATTCCTTGGTGGCTCTCTTCTTTCGGGGTGGCTTGATGCCTTGCAATTCGCGTTTCTTGAAGAAACGCGCCGCGTTGATATATGTCGATGATCCAGAGCCCTTGTCGCGGCCGTTCTGGCCCAAAAAGTCCAGGTAGGAACGTGAGGAGACGCCAATTGCATTTTGGAACTCGCCGACTTTCATCTCTCCGCTTTCTATGAAGGAGCGAATCCGTCGGCGAACTTGGTCGCAGTTCCATTCGATGTAGTTTAGTCGTTCATCGTCGCTATCAATCTCAGGAGGGATGTTCTCAGCATTTGAAGGGTCCAGGTCTGTGGATTTCCTTTTGAGAGACATGGTGTCCTATGTAGCGTTGCAAGCGTCTTTGGATAGACTGAATAGATGACGGAGATAAGTTGGATGATGAAAAATCACATCAGTTGGTGAAAAACGCGTCAAATTCGAGAAGGTTCAGAGGGATGTAAACAAGCCTAGCCCACCTGACGAGACGCGCGATATGAGCTATCGTGATTACATTCAGGGGTCACCCTGCAACGATCACAGGAATCTAACAGCTCATCAGAGTTTCATTGGTTGATTTATTGTTGGTTTATTAGAAGAAATCTTGATCGCGTCATCGCTGATTCCTCTCTAAATGCTCGCTCGTCTACCTATATGTTTCTCTATGACGTCATGTCTAGTACAAGTTTGCTCTTTTAACCAGCCGCCGTCGGAGGTAGAGCGTTATTGCCAGAGACAACATGTAGGTGTAACAGCTGTACACAGTCCTTTCAATCTCCGGATGATACCTTCTTCGAGTAAGTTCCGGGAAGGCACCTAATGAGGATCCGCGGGCCTATCATCCGAGGATTCTGGGAATACTGCCCTAGTCAAATGAATGGACAGCGCAAATATATGACCTGACTATGGCTGGACCTGCGTGCCGAGAGGGCTTACACTCTATGTCAATCCGCGAGCCCGCTGTGGGCAAGGCGGAGAGTAGCACACAGTTACTCTTCCGTAGCCATCTCTAGCCGGTCCCTAGAGGGACGTTGTATCAATCTCCCGTTGATATCAACCTTCTGGAACAGGCCTGGCACTTGACCGTGTTCAACGACGGTCGATATCTGGGGAAAGGGCTTCACCGATTCCCACTTGAAGTAATGCTTTTGGTTCTTCTCATCCCATTCCAAGCGCGGCACCATGCAGTAGATGCGCCTCCAAAGTCGTTGCATGAATCGCCGTGTGATTTGATGAGGTCGACCGTTGACGAAGTCTCTAAACGTCGGCCCCTTTTTTGGTCCTTCTGTCAGAAATGCTACATCAAGGCTGGCCTGGCTGGGAGAGTCCAGGGGAACGCCAACGGCTTTCCTTCTCTTCGGTGGTGTCCATGGTATTCTCCCGGAGATCAGACCATGCAATGTATCGAGCTCCGCATCGGGGAGCGGCGGCAAAAGGCTGTCAAGCACAGCGTAGTACCATTTTTTCCTGATGTTCCGCCGACGACTTTCGGCAATAGGCTTGCCCCAGCTGTTTTCCTTGGGTATAGGCGGCTCCAGAGTCTTAACAACAGAACGATCGCTGAGCTGTGAAAGGACTCCATTCCGCAATTGAGACTTCAAGAGATCGAGCACAATCGTCGGAGGTTTCCAATCATCTTCGAACATTGAAGGCCCTTTCAGAATGCCTTCCACGGCCAAGGCGTCGGGGGGAACTTCCGGGACAATGAAGACACCTAATAAATCCCTTCTTTTCTTTCCATTTCGTCCATATGAGAGCCGGAGTACTTTTTCGAGCGGTCGAGAATAGCCTTCGTTGGCACGCTTCAATAACGACAGTTTCTGGGTTGCGGTTTTGCGGAGGAGGTGCTGCCGATGTAAATCATCTTGTAGCTTAGATTGCGATTTGTCGGAATAGCGTCGAAATCTCCGGACTACATAGTCATGCATGTAACCTCTGGCGATCGGATCAGGGAGATATGTGCATTCGCGCAGCAAGGCACGGAAGAGATGTCGCCATTGTTCGGGAGGGATGAGCGGTGAGGAGGACATTGTTCATTTGGAAAATTCTATCGATCGCAGTTCATGGAATTGGGGATATCCATCTATACTGCATCTTGCAGTGCAGTTAGTCGTCGCGATCACCGATGGTCCCGGGGACAAAGAATCAAGCGGAGAACAAGTCAATTCCCCGGCCGAAAAGGGAAATAGATGGTTTTTTGAGTTCGAGTTACGCGAAACGCCAAGCGGAGAACGCGACCGTCAGGCCCCGCGACTCCTCATCACGATCTTCGTTCACTTCCATGCACGATTTACAGCCTGATTGAATCTAGAATTGGCGACTGCATATTTCATAGCTACAAGTCGATTTACTCTGGTTCTTGTTACTTGTACATCTCTCCATTTGCTCAGATTGGCTTGTTTTCCCATCCCTTTCACGATCGAGGCGCCAGCCACGCGCCCTTCGTTGCCTCCTCGCGCGACTCACCTGTTCGGTAGTTATTGAATAGGTGCGTTTCCCCACTCGATTTCATCCTTGTCCAGACAGGAAATTTCCCTTCATTTTTGCTTATTCTCCAAATAGACTGGAAGGGTAGTGATAATTATATGAGGAGTCGCATTTTGTACTGACACATCACGCTCAGACCACGCCTGTGCATGGTCTTAGGCTTCGGCAGAAACGGGACCTCCAAGTGATGACTTCCAACAACCACCATCCTCCGCGGCCCAGCTTGCCCATGTCGTACTCTCAAAGCAGCTTAGGTTCCGCCAATGGGGTAGCTTTCTCTCAGTCACAAATGGGATCTTTCAATGCTGCCCAGTCCGTCGCGTCGACGCCTCGTGCGACACCCCCTCCGAAAAGCTCACAGCAATCGCTGTCCTTTAGTTATCCAAATGGCCTTCCAGGCGGCGCGAGAGGTAGCTTTGGAGGGTTCGATGATATGAATGGCTATGGGGCAATGGTGCAGTATCAAGAGGAATATAGACCGCAGATCTACAAAGTCGGTTTATCCCTTGACATTGCGGTTCTATTTACTGACAATTCTTCTTGTTCAAGGCTGTCTATTCCAACGTCTCGGTCTACGAAATGGAAGTAAATGGTGTTGCCGTTATGAAACGTCGTTCTGATTCCTGGTTGAATGCTACTCAAATCCTCAAAGTAGCTGGCGTTGTCAAAGCTCGAAGAACGAAAACTCTCGAGAAAGAAATTGCTGCAGGCGAACATGAGAAAGTTCAGGGAGGCTATGGAAAATACCAAGGAACATGGGTGAATTATCAGAGAGGCGTCGAGCTTTGCCGTGAGTATCATGTCGAGGAATTATTGAGACCACTTCTCGAATACGATATGGGACCCAACGGGACCGCAAATGCTGGCCATGACACTCTAGACACTCCTACAAAGGAGCAAGCGATGGCAGCGCAGAGGAAGAGGCTTTATAGCGGTGTGGATAACCGGGGGATGTCGCAACCGCAGCAGGGTACCTTCTTCCAGAATATTTCCCGGACCGCTGCAACGGCTGTCAACGCTATCAGCAAAGCTCGGTTCGATTCACCTGCAGCAAGAAATGCCGATAGTAGACGCTCGAGTATCATGCGAAAGTCGTCACATCAGATCAGCAGTCAGGAGTCCCAGCTCCCCACGTTCAGCAGCCAGCAGAGCATGTACAGTGTGGCCTCCGACAGTGGATTTGGCAGCAATGCGCAGAGCAATGGCCGATTCAATGGCCCTGATGTCGCCGCCTTCGAAACAGAAGAGTCGATCGAGCCGCCTCGTAAGCGTATTAGGTCGTCTTCAAACCATATGCCATCCTTCGGGCTTCAACGGGAGCACTCTTCCTTGTCCATGCAAGAACCTACCCCGACAGAACCGAACGACTCTTTCTACCAGGAAATGGACGGGCCCGCTTCTATGGTGGATGACAACAGGCGTGGCTCAGACCCTCTGCCTCCTGCCACAACTCCAGAAAGATTTCAGAAAATGAAGCTCATCATGACCTTGTTTCTTGACAAGAGGACCAAGGATTTCTCCAACCATCCGGCGTTGTTGCAACTCACTGGTGAAGATCTAGAAATTCCACTTGACGAATACCGCAACAACGCTCTTCATTGGGCAGCAATGCTTGCTCGTATGCCTCTTGTCTATGCGCTCGTCGAGAAAGGCGTGAGCATCTATCGTTTAAACGGTGCGGGCGAAACTGCTTTACAAAAATCCGTCGGGACGAGAAACAACCTCGATTACAGAAGCTTTCCGCGCTTATTACAAGTGCTGGCTCCCACCATAGACATGGTTGACTATAGTGGACGCACAATCCTGCACCACATCGCAGTGATGGCTGCGACTGGTGGTGGTGGACATGTGTCCGCGAAGCACTATTTGGAGGCTTTGCTGGAGTTCATAGTTCGCCACGGAGGCACGTCCATAAGCCAGCAGCCTCCTAATGGGGTTGAGGGTACCAATGGTAATAAATCTCAAACAGGCGAAGTCATCACCCTGGGCAGATTTATTTCAGAAATAGTCAACCTTCGGGATGATCAAGGGGACACAGCACTTAATCTTGCTGGGCGAGCCCGCTCTGTCCTAGTGCCTCAATTACTAGAAGTTGGTGCGGACCCTCACATACCCAACCACACCGGTCTCCGTCCTGCCGACTATGGCGTCGGCGTGGATATGGTTGACGGCAACGCCCAATCCCAACAAGGCGGAAGCAAGAATGAATCTTTCATTGATCACCTGGCCAAAACAAAGAAAGAAATCTTTGATGGTGCGGAACCCCTCCCTCAATTTATAAAGATCAGGACGTACTAACAACTTGAAGCAACAATGGCCCAGATTAGCGCAATAGTACAGGAGACATTAGGCGGTATCGAGAAAGAACTAGCCACCGACTTGTCCAAGAAGCAAGAGAAGTTTGAACATTGGCATTCGAAAATACGCGAGACCGCCAAGGCCCGTCAGATAGAACAGAAGAAACTGGACGACCTCAAGAGCAAGTCTTCTGATCGGGTCGAACTGAGCAGACGAATTAAAAATTTGGAAAGGTCATCTGAAGACCTTCTCGTGATGCTCAAAGAGATACATGGTGGACACTTCGAGCCTTCCAAAATGACCATAGTTGGAGATGCTGATCAAGATTCTGGCGTCGACATGACCGAATTCGAGGCCCTCTTTCCCGAAACGTTCGATCCTACATCAGGGTTTTCCGAAAAGCAGGTAACCTATCTCAAGTCTCTGACTTCTCCTGAGATTCTGCAGCAACGCATCAAATGCTATCAAGATTTCAATCAAGAGATACTTGCCGAGGTGGATCGTTTGAAATCGAAGAACGTGGTGTTGGGTCAGAACTACCGTCGAATGGTTATGGCCTGTACCGGCTGGACGGCCGAACAGGTCGATGAAGCCGCCGAAGGGTTAACGCAATGCGTGAAGGATTTGAATGACAATCCTGTTCCTGAGGATGAGGCTATCGAGATTCTCATGAGAGATCGAGGTCAGGATTGGTAGCCATGCGGCGGTACAAACGAGTTTTTTCATGTCTTTCTTTGCCCATTAGCCCGCTGTCTCTCGGAGTCCTCACAATTTCGGTGTCAGGGATCATTGTCCATAACAAAGGTTGAGGGTTTTTCTTGCATCTGTGGAGTTCTTTTTGTGCGTGCCTCAATAGGCGTTTCATGCATCTGACTTCTGTATTTACAGATACCCATGGCAGCTATAACTGCCTGATACGTCATACCACTGTACTTATGCTTCTTCTGACAATTGACAATTGGGTCTGTGTGATTATTGTCTTTTTTAGCAGTAGAGCCACGAGCATGGACGCCAATGTCCGGCAACACCCGGACTTATTTGCTTGGTCGGTGTTCCCCCCGATGACAATGACTCCAGGAATGGAACTACGTCGGGTTATTCACTCCTTCAGGGCTTGGCTGCTTCACACCTCAGTCTCACCGTGCTGAAATCAGGCTAAATCGGGTCTTTAACCGACAAAATGATAGGAAGTCCCCCGCAGGAAATGCAAGCGAAACAGGAGCTAACCCCACCTGTCCCCAGCTGTGCTCTCTCCAGTGGCTTGATGTGGAGATTCAGATATGGATTTTGCCTTTATTCAGAGTCGAGCATACGGGTCAACACCTATAAAGGTACTGCAAACCTTTTGTTATCGCCCGGCTATGCCAAGCAAAATCGATCAAGTCGTAAACGCAACGTGAATGCAAGCACGTAACAATTTGCTGGATCATTTGAAGACAAAAATGGCTACAGGAATTCTGAAAGTCCAAGGAAGCAAAGTCGTTGACAGCAATGGAGACGAAGTTCTTCTCCGTGGTGCCGCTATTGGCGGTTGGATGAAGTATGCAGTAACACAATGCCTTTATTTTGCCCCTTTGAAGTGATATGCTGATTGACATCTTTGAAATAGTATGGAGAATTTCATCACTGGTTACACAGGTCATGAGTCGCAACATCGTGCTGCTATGCGGAGAGTCTTAGGGCCAGAGAAGTACGAATTCTTTTTCGACAAATGGCTCGAGTATTTCTTCACAGAGGCGGACGCCAAGTTCTTTGCTGGGCTGGGATTGAATTGCATCCGGATTCCTTTTAATTATCGCCATTTTGAGGATGACATGAACCCACGGGTACTGAAGGAGACTGGATTCAAGCACTTGGATCGGGTGATTGATTTGGTAAGAGTCCTACAACGTAAGGACGGCATGATGCTGATTTGTTATTCCCCATGATAGTGCGCAAAAGAGAAGATATACACCATCCTGGATATGCACACGGCTCCTGGTGGACAGAACGGAGACTGGCATTCTGATAACCCAACCAGCTACGCTGCTTTCTGGGATTTCAAGGACCATCAAGACCGGACGATATGGCTGTGGGAGCAGATTGCAGCACGATACAAGAACAATCCATGGGTTGCTGGATACAACCCTCTGAATGAGCCGTGCGATCCGGAGCACGTCAGGCTTCCGGCTTTCTATGAGCGTGTCGAGAAAGCCATCCGAGCTATTGACCCAGATCATATCCTGTGGCTGGATGGAAACACGTTCGCCATGGAGTGGAAAGGCTTCGATAAGGTTCTTCCGAACTGCGTTTACGCTATGCATGACTATTCTGTAGGCCATTTCCCACTCGACCAAAAAGTCCTCGTGCTGATTGCTTTCATTAGTCAATGGGTTTCCCTACCGGAGAGAGATACAAGGGAACTCCCGAACAAAAGGAACATCTTGAACGGCAGTACCTTCGCAAAGCCGAATTCATGAACAAAAACGGGACAGTAATCTGGAACGGCGAGTTCGGTCCAGTCTACGCTAATCCCCGCACGGAAGCAGAGGCAGAAACCATAAATCAAGAGCGGTACAGCCTTCTGGGAGAGCAGCTTCGTATCTACGATAAGTACAACATCCACTGGTCTATCTGGCTGTACAAGGATATTGGCCTGCAGGGTATGATCCACACAAGCCCAGAGAGCAAATGGAACAAGACGATCCAGCCCTTGCTTGAGAAGAAAAAGAACTTCTGGCTTGATGCATGGGGCAGAGAGCCATCCGCAGAGCCTGAAGCAGCACTCAGGCCACTGGTTGATTGGATCGACAAGGTCAGTCCAACGGCAAAGGAAACGTACCCGACCCCATGGCATACGGAGCGTCACCTACTGCGGAACGTCTTCCAGACATTCTTGGCAGCATCTTTTGTGGAGGAGTTCGCGGAGTTATTCAGAGGAATGGATGAAAAGGACTTAGAGGCGTTGGCACATAGCTTTCACTTTGACGAGTGTTTGCAGCGAGGAGGACTGAATGAGATCCTGAGGGAGCATGCTCGTGCAACGAAGCACTGAGGGCTGGTGTATGGAGAGTAGATTATCGATCAGCCACCCTGATGACTTGTGGATGTACTGCGACTCTCCAGAGTTGTAATTGGTGCGTGCGTAGAGCGTGGCCATAACTTATATTGCAGCAAGCTCGTTCAATATTACAGCATATTTTATTAATGCCACGGACATTGGTGGCCCCACCACAATCTCCGAACCCGCCTTATCGATAACGAAAAATGGATGAGGGAGGAAAAAACTGTTAGGCGGGGTACCTGCGCTTTTTCATCGTCATCGCCAACGCCATCAGCAGTCGCTCTTTTGCTAGCTTTGTTCTTGGGTGGCCTGATTCGAGTGCTTGAGAGCATTGAGTATGTTCTTGTGAAAATTTCCAAATCATACCACTCGTCACGTGCTCGTTAATGTCGACGGCCCAACCGAGGTCTATCCAAAGTACAGTCAGGCATAACCCATCAGTTCGACCATTTTGAAGGCATTTAGAAGTCGCTCTTTTAAGATTCAAATCCTAAGGGGAGTTCTCCAAGATGTCTGAAGCATCGAGCGCTCCTTACCCGTCGTCCTTGGACGTTCTGTTCGATGGGACATCACCGTTGAGGGAACAGTATGACCCAGTCAAACTAGCACATGCAGAGATCGTCCCCATCCTCCAGCTTCCACTGGCTAGAGAATTGTTGGGTCACAACTCTGCAGATGCGAGTGCTATCAGCCGCGTCTCCAACGTCGAGATATGCTATACCACCTTCCTGACCGAGAAGGCGAAGGCTACGGCTCAGATGCCACTGGATGGGCTTACTGCTGAGCAGCAACGGTCACAGATCCTCCATATTGGTCTGGCAGCTCTATTTAGCTTTATGCAATCCAATATTACAGGTCCACCGTTGGATTTTAACTCAGCAGATGTGATATTCCCTAAGGCTCTCCACTCAGATGCCACCAAGCTCCGGGCTGTTCGCAATCACATCATTCGTGAACTATCTGTAGACGGAGAAGCCGCCTACAAGCTGACGCCAAATGTTGAGCTCTTTGCAGTTGCGAAGGCTCTTCTTGTTGATGCTGAGATCCTCGTCCCTGGCGGACCTTTGGTAGCGAGGACGGCGAGACTCCGCGTCAATTTCCTTCACCAGAAGATGCTGTCCGAAGCTACTAGCACATTACAGGATGCCATCTATAGCGACTTGGAAGAGTTGGGCAAGATGCTACTTAGCGAAAAGACTGTATTTTCTACAGCTCAAGAAAAAGGACGCTTCCTTGTGGAAAGGGCGACTATCCACACCCACCATGGCTTTGACGCCAAAGCTAGGGCAGATCTTGAGCAGGCTGCTGCAGTCAGAAAATTTGAGTTTGCATTGACTGGAAGACTGGGAAAAAGGACGAAGTTCCAAGAACATGATATCAGCCAGCTTGTCGTCTTGGCAAAGAGTGCCGAAGAACTGACGACCACCGGAAACTCGGCTCTTCCGGCAGAAAAGGAGGATACCCCCCAAGCAGGACCTAAGAACCTAGACCTCAACGATGATACCCTTCTCGAAAGCATATCATTCACCAAGGGTACTCAGACATCAAAAGACAAGTCGACGACTGTCCAGGAAGAATCCACGCTTCCCCCAGCTTTGCAGTCTCTTGACCCCGGCAACCAACCACTGCTGGACCCTGTTGACTCTGCCATTTTGCTGGGTTTGGCGTCCGCAATCACGAACACGTCGCCGGAGAACGGTCTGACTCGGGAAGAGACCCACCCTTACGCTATCCGTGTTCTTGAAGGTGGCAGTTCGAACTGGCAGGTATACACTCAAGCTCTGTTGGTCCGAAGCCGTGTAGAAGGATACAGAGCTCGTACCGTAGAAAGATCTGTTCTGCAGATGCAAGCTCTTGTTGACCAAGTCATTGCAGACACAGCAACTCTTGATACTCAAACCACCGAAAATGGCAACCAGGCTACCACATTCCTCCCCAGACCCGAGAAATCCGAGTCTGCTTCGGCCGCTGAAAGACTAGAGTATATCTGGCTTTTGAACTCTCCTACTCGGTGGAGTCTTGAAGCTGAGTTGGCTCAACGCTGGGTCAACCTTGGCGGTCTGCGGACTGCACTGGACATTTACGAACGCCTGCAGATGTGGGCGGAGGCCGCTCTCTGCTACGCTGCCACAGACAGAGAAGAAAAGGCTAAGCATATCGTCCGCAGACAGCTATATGAGCCCACTGGTCCAGACCCAGATGACGAGAACGAGAAGTTCGACGGACCGGAACTATCTCCGCTGCCCGTTGATGCCCCTCGCTTGCTCTGCATCCTGGGTGACATCGACAGTGTTCCAACAATGTACGAACGCGCATGGGAGGTCTCAAACAACAGATACGCACGCGCACAGCGTTCATTGGCCCGCCACTATCTTTCGTTGAAGCCCCCTGCTCTCGAAAAGGCAGAGGAGGCATACCGCAAGAGTCTCCACATCAACCGTCTCAACCACAGCGCATGGTTTGCGCTTGGTTGTGTACAGCTTGAACTGCAAAAATGGGAGGACGCCATCGATTCATTTACACGGACCGTGCAGCTCGAAGACACGGACGCCGAAGCATGGAGTAACCTTGCTGCTGCCATCCTGCGAACCGCCAAACCCAGCGAAACTACCGAAACGGCAGAGGAGGAGCAACAGGATGCAGACGCTGATGC